ATATATATATATATACCGGGTGACAGCAAAATTGTTCAAATCGTGTTACAACATAATTGTCCATCCCACAAAATGTTTAATATCTAAAAGAACATCAAACTGAGTTTCTTTTTATCGGGTTTTCAGATAAGGCGTTTAGCCATCTTGACACTATTTGTCGTAAGAATCATTGAAAAAAATCCTTTGGGTAATTCAGCTAGAAAGAGAACAGATTAAAATAGTTTTGTACCAGCCCCACTCTCTTCTCGTCTGAGCAATGGCGAGAGGAAAAAGACCATTCAGGCCTCCAGTAATGCTACCAACATTCATACACTGGCTTCTAATCTTCAAAGTCCATTCAAGAACCACCAAGAGAATGGCGAATAATTTTTTAAAAAGAGGGAACAGTAGAGAGTGAAAATGGATCAAGAGGTCACAACAGCAAGAGGGATCATCACTGCAAATTAGAGCTAAAGAGGTCAATTAGAAAAGATCCAACTCAATCCATAAGACGTTTGGCACGCGAGAGAGGAGTTTCAGCAATGACAGTTCGAAGGGCAATGGAAAAAGAAAGACTTGAAATTAAATCGTACGTGAAACGAGTGAGGCACATTGTTACTCCAGGACAGGAACCTAAAAGGTTAGAGAGAGCGAAGAACACCTTGAATTAGCTGGAAAATTATCCTGGAATAATATATATATATATATATATATATATATATATATATATATATATATGTTTGAAATTTACTTAATCCTTCCGGTCGTTAGTTATGATTAATTAATGAAGATGTCATTTTCGTTTATGATCGATTTCATCACGATTTTTCTGTTAAGCTTCTTATTGCTCAAAGTAGAGTTCACTAGTGTTATAAAATCTTCGGAGAATTCCAGTAAGATATCTTTAATCATTTCTAAGATACAACGGTTCAAAACTTAATCTGATAATTGGATAATTGGATAATTTTGCTTTTACACACTGTATTGATGGTCATTTCTTTTTACAAAAACCTATTGCTGGTAATTTTTTACTATGAAAATGTCGTGCTGGCACCTTCACTATAAAAATGTATTTCTACACTTTCATAGAGTTTTTGCTGCAGATTGGGGTATTAACTATTTACCCATAGCTGGGACCCTAACAGGTTCTACCACCCCAGGTCAGGGTGGACCTGGGAACAACAGCAATTAAGAATTGGTTCCACGCCCCTCAATACCTCTCGATCAGAGGCCTTGCTGCCGGACGTAGTTTATCGTCATACCAAGGACATTGCTTTTAGCGGACATCATGCGATTATATTATCCAGGTCTGTTTTACATTGTTTAAAGCGCAACATTCAAATGACAAATTGGAAATCTAAAAATCGAATTACAACGATTTAAATATCTGGGAAGTGTGTGAACAAAGGACGGTAAGGATGACACTGAGAGATTGGGATAGCAAAAGATGCCTTCTAAATGCTAAGCAGGGTATTAAGAAACAGAAAAACTTTGGCAGAAACTTCAAAAGAAAAGAGTACTTAATTTTTACATAATATCAGTCTTCCTATATGACAGTGAATGCTGGACAATCATCTCAAAGATGAAGAAGGGGGTTGAAGCAATAGATATATGGTTCTACAGAAGTTATATATATATATATATATATATATATATATGTGTGTGTGTGTGTGTGTGTGTGTGTGTATATAATGGACTTTCCCGTCGGTTTCGACGTATGAGGGTCTGACAGCTTAATTGATTCAGTTATGAAATTTTGTGCGATAAGACCCGCTAGTGATTAACAAAGGAGGTTGCATATGGAGGCTGAAGAAGGGGTTGAAACAATAGATATATGGTTCTACAGAAGGCTGCTGAAAATACCATGGACCGAACATGGCTGCAACGACGAAGGTTTAAACAAAATGGAAACAAAAAGGAAATAGTCAAAATTTTTAGCTACTTAAAATAAAGAAAGCTTGGAAAATGTTCTACTTACAGGGCAGATTGAGGAAGACAGAGGAAAAAACGCGTAACCGACTTAATGAGTTTAAATGGCGAGATAGGGTTTAGGAGAGATCACAAAAAGACAAAATTTATTAAGGGCTACAAATAACAGGAAATTGTGGAGAGCCATAATCGCCAACATTCTGAAGGGGACGAGTCACATAAAAAAAGTAGAATGGACTTGAGTAAATGGATGGCGGAACAAGGTTTAATTATTAAGATCTATAAATGATAGGAAATTATGGAGAGCAATGATCGCCAAAATTCTGAAGGGACGGAAAGAAGAATGGACTTTAGTAAATGGATGGCGGAACAAGGTTTAATTATTAAGATCTATAAATGACAGGAAATTGTGGAGAGCCATGATTGCCAAAATTCTGAAAGAAGAAGAAGAAGAAGAAGAAGAAGAAGAAGAAGAAGAAGAAGCTTGAGTAAATGGATGGCGGGATAACGTTTAGGAGAGATGACAAAAAAAATTATTAAACGCTACAAATGACAGGAAATTGTGGAGAGCCATGATCCCCAACATTCTGATGGGACGCATCAAATACAAGAAGAAGAATGAGCTTGAGTAAATGGATCGTGGAATAGGGTTTAAGAGAGATAACGAAAAAGACAAAATTTATTAAAATCTACAAAGGATAGGAAATTGTGGAGAGCCATAATCGCCAATATTTTAAAGGGACGCGTCATATAGAAGAATGTGCTTGAGTCAATGGATGGCGGGTAAGGATTTAGGAGCGATAACAAAAAGCCAAAAATTATTAAGCTCTACAAATGACAGGAAATTGTGGAGAGCCATGATCACCAACGTCTTGAAGGAAAACGAGACATAGAAGAGATTGGTCGTAAATGAAGATAGAAAGATTGTTTTCCGTCAATATTTTAAACAATATTTTTAATTAACTGCCTAAAAACCAGTATTCAACAAAATGTATTTCGCTCACTTGTTTTTTCTTTGTTTGCTTTTTTGTTTGTTTTTTTGGTTTCCGTATGTCTTTCAACCACTAAGCATGTTTTTTTTCCCTTTATGAGTAGAAAATGAAGCTGAGATTTCACATTTCTCAACAGACTCTTGAGTTAGTAGGTCACTTACTCTTGAAACGCTAGAGTTATAAAAAAAATGCCCTTGAACAAGACAGTTACATTAGTCAGCTGATAAAATTATTGGTTTTATCAGGAAATGATTCAGCGAAAGTCGTGCACTTTAAGAAGCACTTGTCTTGCCAAGAATATATAATGAATGGCACAAGGCTTATTTGTAGAGTGATGAAGTAGGTACAGCAAAGACTTCGTTTCTACCAACAGACATTGTCATCATAGCGACTATGACACGGTACACAAGGTTTCTCCAACTAGTTTCTTACGGGCGACTATGTAAGAAGGCAAAGTCAATTTCGGAACCGTGGTATGGCACTTAATCAATTTGGTTTTTAGTTTCTCCTCCTAGGAACATCCATGGCCATATCCGTCTCGGGTGTTCTTGGAATCATCTGTTGGCTATTCATTTTTCTCCACGTTCGTTGTATGTTCCTAGTCCGTTGTCATAAATATGGCGACAAAGATGAGGATAATAGTCCGAATAATGTAAATAATGTACATAATACCTCATCTCAGACAGATACTGAAAGGCCGAAACGTTGTATAAATATGAAAGATGAGGACAATAGTCCGAATAATGAAATACTAATACCTCATCTCAGAAATATAGACAGATACCGAAACGTTGTAATAAATATGGCAACAAAGATGAGGACAATAGTCCGAATAATGTAAATAGTGTACATAATACCTCATCTCAGAAATATAGACAGATACTGAAAGGCCGAAACGTTGTAATAAATATGGCGACAAAGATGAGGACAATAGTCCGAATAATGTAAATAGTGAAAAATAATTTATAGACCTGTGGAAACGTTTAATAAATATGCGTCCGGTTTAAATAGGAAAAACAATTTCCCTGTGGATTTAAAATGTTGCTGACTATAACAAACACCTGACGAAGGCCTACTGGTAGAACGGTTGAAACGTTGTGCTTATAACGACTACGTGTACTAGTCCGAATAGAAAGACGTAATTAAACAAGAATAATAAAAACACTTGTTTTGATTGGGAAAAAATTGTAAGCTATATAATAAAAGGATCGTCGTCGAGCCGACTAACGAGGCAAATCTATTAGACAGCGACATCAGATAGACAGGAACAACCCTAGATGAGATGGATGTGCGGGTAGCGTAAATGCTATCGGCGCTGGGAGTGAAATCGGCGAAGCGAGTTCAAGTTTTGTTGATTTCCACGAAAATCATAATTCACAAATAATAAAGAAAAGAGAATTGCAGAAAAGGCATGGCCTCTTTTGATTCTGAAGGCAGGTGCAATTTGCAATAATACATATATATATATATATATATATATATATATATATATATATATAGTGAACATTGAATTCAACACTCAGAGGCAACAGCCTGTGTCATGCTGGATGCAATCTTCAGGCCGCCCTGATTGTCTCTCGCCTCTGAGTATTGACTTCAATGAGTACTTTATCCCATAAATATAGCACACCTTAAGACTATATTATTTTTTTTTTAAGCATTTCACCCCAAATGTGTGTGTGTTATGGGGGGTTGTAACATAGACAGATATGAATAAACTGAGATAGATATAGATAGATGGATAGGAAGTTGTAAACTAATATATATATATATAAAATTTTATATGCGCAGTACTTATTGGAATGTGCTCAATAACAGAGATAGAGCTAATATATTCAGTTGTATGGATATGAATTTGTGACGCTGCGTTTCACGCTTTTGCGATCAGCAGACAAACTATTGATCATCACAAATTCTTTTGCCTGATGATCGCAAAAGCGTGAAACCAAGGGTCACAAACTCTTATCCATACATATAAATTAATATATATATATATATATATATATATATATATATATATATATATATATATATATATATATATATATATATATATATAGAGAGAGAGAGAGAGAGAGAGAGAGATGGAGACAAACAAACTGAGATAGATATGAATAAACTGGAATAGATAGATAGATAGATAGATAGATAGATAGATAGATAGATAAGAACAGACTGAGATAGATATATAGATACGAACAGACTGAGATAGATAGATAGATAGATAGATAGATAGATAGATAGATACCAGCAGACTGAGATAGATAGATAGATAGATAGATAGATAGATAGATAGATAGATAGATAGATAGATACCAACAGACTGAGATAGATAGATACGAACAGACTGAGATAGATAGATAGATAGATAGATAGATAGATAGATAGATAGATAGATAGATAGATACGAACAGACATAGATAGATAGATAGATAGATATGCAATTTTTTTATATTTTCATAACGGCAGTAAAATATTAGCTATTTTCGCACAAGATCAAAATTCAAACGGAGCTGAAACAATGGTTGGCACACACATTTATTAAGGACATGGCTGTTCTAAACACGGTGAGATATTGGATTACTTTGGTGTGATTTACAATATTGTGTGCGTCGCCCAGTGCCCAAGACGAACAGGTTTGTGGTGTGCGGGTTGGGAAGCAGTATGGGCGTCCCCTGTCGTCGTCTGCTTTCTACATTTGGCCATGCAATCTAATTTCCTTCTCTGGTCCAAAACACGCTCAATCCTCACCGCCAGCGTGGAAGATGGCGGAAGGGAGAGAAAAACGTAGGATTTGTCACTAAAAACGGCGAAAGAAACACCAGAAATATCTCTATGAATATTTATCGACCGGTTTAGCCCGGCAGGAAAGTGGGATTGGAAAGACATAGAAAAAGTTTCTTTTTCAACAACGTTTCAATTATTATTATTATTATTATCATAGTAGCAGTAGTAGTATTTCGGGATTTTCTTTTCTTTTATATTTCTACTGAGTTTATGTAGATCAAGTAATGCTTGGAAATTGAAGATGGATATTCATTGAAGAAAGAGATTGGAAATTCTCGCTGCCTCCGTTCCTGGAGATCGGCTTTGGTAATTTTTATTTCTTTGAGTCTTTCTGTAGATATCTGTCTCTTCTGTCTTTTGACAAATCTATTCTAAGAATGATAGAATATTATGATACGATACGAGAAGAGGAAACTGTACATACGTATATAGATGGAAATGAAGGGACGATGATAGCAATAGATTTGAACAAACTGAGATAGATAGATAGATAGATAGATAGATAGATAGATAGATAGATAGATAGATAGATAGATGAATAGCTTGAGATAGATAAGCACACAGATAGATAGACGCGTACAACTGATAGATAGATAGATAGATAGATAGATAGATAGATACGAACAGACATAGATAGATAGATAGATAGATAGATAGATAGATAGATAGATAGATAGATAGATAGATGAAAAGCTTGAGATAGATAAGCACACAGATAGATAGACGCGTACAAACTGGTAGATAGATAGATAGATAGATAGATAGATAGATAGATAGATAGATAGATAGATAGATACGAACAGACTGAGACAGATACATAGATAGATAGATATGAACAGGCTGAGATAGATAGATAGATAGATAGATAGATAGATAGATAGATAGATAGATAGATAGATAGATAAGTACACAGATAGATAGCGGCATACAAACTGATAGATAGATAGATAGATAGATAGATAGATAGATAGATAGATAGATAGATAGATAGATGTGAACTGACTACTAATACGTCATAACTAATGGACTATTCCGTTTTGATCACGTGGAACGACCGAAAAACATATCAGAGACGCTACCTCGCTTCAGTGAGAAAATGATACATAGATAGATAGATATGTCTTATTTTGTATATGTTTGTATCAATCTGGTTATTTATATACCTATCACAGCCTGTTCCTATCTCATCTGCATATAGACGTATACACATCTATCTAACTATCTATCGATATCTATCTATCTATCTATATATATATATATATATATATATATATATATATATATATATATAGATAGATAGATAGATAGATAGATAACAAATGAAACATTATGAAACACATAAACTCATGTTCTTAATCATTAGTTTAGATATTTGTCAAAAATCTATCTTTTGAGAATGTACACATATACAGACACACATATATATGTATGAATGTATGTATGTATGTATATCAGACAGCTCATATCTATTTATGTCTCTGTGTGTGAATATATATATATATATATATATATATATATATATATATATATATATATATATATATATATCGGTTATCTATCTCTGTTCATGTCTATATATCTCATATGAACAGATTTTAAACTTAGATAATGAACAAATTGAGATAGATAAAAAAAAAAAAAGCATAGATAGATAGATAGATAGATAGATAGATGAATATGAACTGAATGAGATAGATAGATAGATAGATAGATAGATAGATAGATAGATAGATAGATGTGAAAGATGTGAAATAGATGAGATAGATAGATAGATAGATAGATAGATATGAACAGAATGAGATAGATAGATAGATAGATAGATAGATAGATAGATAGATAGATAGATAGATGAATATGAACTGAATGAGATATATAGATAGATAATGAAAAGACTGAGATAGATAGATAGATAGATAGATAGATAGATAGATAGATAGATAGATAGATAGATAGATATGAACAGAATGAGATAGATAGATAGATAGATAGATAGATATACAGGGAGAAAAATATATAAAATATCTGAACTTGCAAAATAAGTCTGAGCTGATGATGATATTTAATGATTTAGCCATTTTTTAAAACTCTATTCAAAACACTTAATAGTCTCATTTTCGCAAACACAATTCCTCACCCCACACCATCCATCTCTCATCCAGCCTTATACACACACACACGCACACACACACACACTCATAGAATCATTTGCGTCATTTGTTGCCACGTTTTCTTTTCTGCTTACTAACCCCCCCACACCTACCAACCTCTCAAAAGTGCACATTAGACTCCTGATAGCTTTCGTTCGATCGCCTCCAATCCGCTGACTAATGGGTTATTGATCTGTTTCTCTACTGCATGTGAGTCCATCGATCACAACTACAAAGATGCAGACCTCGAACAGGTTTGTTGCTATGTCAAACTGACTGCATAGGACTGCAGTTTTGTGTGCATTCGTTGCTCGTCAACAATTTGACATAAGCACAGATTTTACTCGGCTGAAACAGGACGTTCTTGCAGCGTTGCCGACACTTTGTATATAGGTTGGTTGATACATAATATTTGTGCTGACCTTATGGCAATCATCTTTTTTCCTTGTCAATAAATCAGATCCCAAGCGTTGTCACAATGTTATGGCAACGTTGTGAAGTGCTGTAGCAGAAATATTCCACACTTGGTCCAACATTGCATATTTTCTTTGTGGTGATTCCTAGTAAGAATAATAGGTTGAATTTTCCATTTAATAATAGGTTGAATTTTCCATTTAATTGTTGTGGTGTCCTCCCTCTAAAGAGTCTATGTTGGACTCTTCCGCCTACTATAAGATTAGTAGGAGAGTAGGCCCTGGGGGAACACTCGACCAGATTGTTCATCTGTCGAACTTCCTGCCTCAGCAGAGAGGAATCCGGACAAGGCTTTGTCGTAGGGCAAAGTTTCGTCCGGGAAGGTAGACAGGCCCTGAACCCGTCTAGGCGGATTCAAAGGGAATACTTTTGGCCGAGCCTACGGGCTCGTAGAAACCCACGTTAAACTCGGCCTTGTGCCACATAAATCCCTCGAGGAGGAGGGGCTGTTAGATATTAACAGTGAATAGATTGTGGGCACCCAGAGGCGATGTTATTGTTAGCAAGTTTGTCTCGCTAACACACTTACGAATGGGTAGTGAGTTCGATCCTCACTGGGTACCCCATACTTTCGGCCTTGTGCCACATCTAAGCTACGCTTGGAAAATAAAGGAAACGGTGATATAGACCGTTCATTACTGTCAAACTCTCTGTCTGGCAGAGAGGAACCCAGACGAGGCTTCGCCGAAGGGCAAAGTTTCGTCCGGTGAGATAGACAAGCCCTGAACCCGTCTAGGCGGGTTCGAAGAGGATATTTTTGGCCAAGCTCGGAGAACCCACGATAAACTCGGCCTTGTGCCACATACGACCCACGTGGATGGGGGGCGTTAAATATATCAGTAAATAGATTGTTCAAACTATCGAGCTCTCTGCCTTGAGGAGGTGGGGAGGAGCCTTGTACCATATACATTCCTCGGAGTAGGGCTGCTAAATATAACAATGAATAGATTGTGGCCTTGTGCCACATATTTCCCTCGTTGGGGGGTGGCTGTTAAATATTAACAGTCAAGTAGATTGTTCTATCAAGGCTGGGACTGTTCGCAGCTCTGTCGAACTCTCTGCCTTCGGACAGAGAGGAAGCCGAACGAAGCTATGACGAAGGGAAGAGTCTCGTCTGGAGAGGTAGACAGACCCGTTCCTGTTTACGCGGGTTCTATGGGTATTTTTTTGGCCGAGCCTACGTGATCGAATGACCCACGTTAGACTCGGTCTTGTGCCACATGTGCCATCTTGGGGGGGGGGGATCACTGAATATAACATTAATTAATAAAGATCAAACACTTAAAATACCATAGGTAATAATCTTTATTCCATAAAAGCTCTAAAAAGCCTTCAATCTTTCCGACCTGCAAACCAAATATAAAGGGAAAAAAATTACTCCAGGTTAAATTCAAGAGATACCGATATTGTATTAAGTCAGAAGGAAGAGAGAGAAAAAAAGAAAAGGAAAGATTTAAAATTATGAATATGTAATGGCGGCGTAGATGGGGGGAGGAAGAAGACCGAAGGATTTATTCTCAGTGGAGTTTAACATTGAGGAATCGGAGAGCCGAGTCGAAACGATTACATTCGCTTACGTGTTAATAGCCTTGGGAAAGATATGAATCCTCTTCTTCTTCCCGAGAAAGAAATGGCAACCTACTGCGGGGAAAAAATCTGCCTCGCCAGTCATGTATCGAAAGATACATGATCGCCTAAGCGTGTATCACGCATGGCACATAACTGACTGAAATTCACTCACATGCTAGTAACTTTGGGAAAGGTATGAATCCTCTCCCCAGCTATGGGTAAATAGCAGGACAAACCGGGTTCTAGAGCCTTGGATGGCAACTGGTCTACCGCAAAAAGTAATGCCAACCTACTGCGTGGAAAAAAATCTGCCTCGTCAGTCATGTATCTTTCTATACATGATCGCCTAAGCGCGTATCACGCATGGCACATAACTGACGGAAATTTACTTGTTTGCCAATACCAATGGGAAAGGTATGAATCCTCTCCTTCCCCACCCCCTTCAGCTATGGGTAAATAGCAGGACAGACCGGGTTCTATAGCCTTGGATGGCAATTGGTCTACCACAGAAAAAAATGGCAACCTACTGCGGGAAAAATCTGCCTCAGTCATGTATCGAAAAATAAATAATAAATTTATCTCAAAAATAATGTTTTGGTAAGGATATTGGCCAGCTGTCTACATATATATATATAATGAAATGGACAAAGTCCGACAATTATTTTAAAATATTTTTTATGTTTATTCATTCTTTTTACAGATACAAATATTTAAGTAAATGCTTTGTTTATAATAAACAGTATTAAACAACATTTACCGGCCTAAATGTCCGAGAAATTTTCATAGAAAATATTCGTCCTCCGACAGGAATCGAACCTGTATCCTATACGGAACCATCATATAGCCTGACGAGATTTTACCGATTGAGCCACAAAGGATAGTTTCAGTGTGAAAGGTTGATTTTACTGTTTTTAAACTACAATTCTCCATGATTTTCTCACGTACATTCATATCAAATGACGTCACACAAATTCCAACAATTATTTTAAGACATTTTTTGTCCATTTCTTTATATATATATATATATATATATATATATATTGGCCAGCTTCTAACAAGCAGTTCAGTTGAAAGGCCACTCTTGCGTTTCAAAGAAGAATTCAAAGACAGTCTGAATCGATGCGGTATCTGCTTTTCTTCCCGGGAAAACACAGCATCAGGGGGAAGGAGAGCTGGGAGCCTCTCCTGTTTCTTATCTATACAAAGGTTTGAGCTAGGCAGACTTGAACATTGGGATCAACTGCGTGCAAATATTAAAGAAAGCCGGCAGGATGCTGATCATCTCAATGGTAGCCTTACCTGCGACTGTGGCTTCTTTTTATTGCATTCAGTAAAGCAGGCTTTGCTGTCAACTCATTGAAACATGTCGCAACTGATCCTCCCCCACTCGAGCCAAAAGGCTCAACCACATATTCCATCTGTCTAAAAGTTTGTAAAACACCTGCAGGCCTCTGAGCCCTCATTTTTTACCGCGACAAGAGATTTAACTATATATATATGTATATATACAGCGTGTCCATAAAGTTCGTGTGCACTTTAAAAAATTTATAACTTTATTTGTATTTGCGATACAAATAATCTGTAAAAAGGATTAGAAAGAAGTAAATCTATATTTTTTAAGGTTTTATTGAAATTTTATTTAAGTTTCCACCTGTCCTCCATCATTAGCAATACAAAGGGTATACGACTTTGCAGTTCACGGAAAACATTTGCCAACTGATTTACAGTAATGCCTGAAATCACATTAATTATTTTAGCCATACTTAAAACTAGGTACATTAAACTTTTTAACATTTTTTACAGATTATTTCTATCGCAAATACTAATAAAGTTATAAATTTTTTAAGTGCACAAGAGCTTTATGGACAACCTGTATATATATATATGATTGAATAAATATTATACCTGCTTATTTTTATCATAATCCTTTCATATCCACGAATATTTTCCATATATTACAATTAAATAAAACAAGAAATGCACTGTAACACTAACAATCGATTTTATTTCCCAGTTACACCTCTGATGATGATGGAAGGTTCTTAGGAAATAAAAGTGATTCTCATTGTTATATTGCATTTCTTGCCTTATTTAATTGCAATATACGGAAAAATATTCGTGAATATGAAATGATTATAATAAAAATAAGCAGACATAATGGTTATAATTTATTCAATCAGACATGCCTAGAAGGGAATTTGCTGCCTAAATTAAAAAAAAAAAAAGCTGCATAGAATCGCGGTTTCAACCTCCAAGGTCGCATCAGTGTTTTACCTCAGCTGAGTTAACCAACTGATGAGCGTTTTATTATTTTGGGATATTAAATCCTTCCACGGGTTTGATTATTCTCACTTGATATTGAGCAATTATTAACACATACGATTTTACACAAGTATTTTAGTGTTTATTCACTGCGTTATACCATTTATTTTATCTTCAACATCATCACTTGATAAGACACCGAGTGTGTTGAAACAAAATGGCTATTTTTGTAGTGATTTTATAACATACTTATGTTATAATTTTTTTATAATTTTTTTAATAATTTTTTTATAAATAATAATTTTTTATAATTTTTTTTATAAATAATAATTTTTTTATGAATAATAATTACATACTTATGTTATAATTTTTTATAAATAATAATTATATATATATATATATATATATATATATATATAGTTATTTTTAGCGAAAAAACAATCTTATATATATATATATATATATATATATATATATATATATATATACACAGCGTTTTCAATTTCTTGTTAGAGACGCCAATGTAGATTCCTACATAGGTAAGAGTCGGCAGGTGCCGAATCAGGAAAATATTGTACAAGAATGTTGTCGCAAATTCATAAAACAACGAAACAAGTTTTCCT